TAATAACTTGTTTATACCACAACACAGTCTTATTTAAGTTGAAGCCAGAATGAGACTTGTTTCATAGATGATTAAAGAGTGGCTATTATGCAAAATTGTTAGTTTTCCGTGTTATTACGCTCCCTGATCAAAACATGTGCATATTCGGTTGATCTCACAATCTCTAACGAGCACTTTTCAAACACCCGATTAGGTTTACAAGACCACATCACTTGTCTAAGGCTCTGCCCACAATCGTACGTAACCAGGAAGCTCTCTGCAGTGCTCCCCTTGCTCCCACCACACGACCTCTCCCTATTCAGCAGTCTTGCAGAAACTAATAAAACTTTTTAATACTTTGTTTTCTGTGAATATAGCATTTTCAAACTGACAAAAGGTAAAATGGTGATCTAAATATGTTATGCCCATAATACCTCCATTTTAAATCCCTGAGTTGCCACTAAACATGACAATTCTAAAGTTGATATAGACTGACAGACAAAACAACAGCCTAAACTAGGACAAACCAGAAAGTTAAAGTTGGCTATTTATGAATCCAAACTGGATAGTAAAAGCTCAAGATGCACAAAAACAGGAGAAATTGAGGTGGCACATTTTAATTTCCCATGACTCACTGGTACAATCACTAGTATTGTCTACTAAAGTTTACTTGTGATGTAGGGCTTCAAGAGTATTCACAATCGAGTCAAAATCACAGTTTGAAAGGATGCAGAGAGCAAATCACAAAGGCTACCATGGGCTCTATTTACACTTACGTCACAAAACCAGTAGATGTTTGGAAACATGTGGATGATAACTTCCTTTGGGCTCTGTTGGCATTAGTAATTTACAAAATCTGAAGACAAAAATGAGAAAATGGTCCTCCTTGCTTCATCTAGATGTCATTGTATTCTTTCTTTTTTCCTTTTATTAACTGCCTCTTAATTTGCGTATTATAATTTATCTAACTTAATAAAAACACACACAGGCTGTGAAGAGCGCTGCTGCTGAATCCATGGTTTTATCACATGCCCAGTATGTAGACTGTATATATAAATATTCTTTACATAGTCTGTGGTCCAGTATCGGTAAGTACAAGTTGTCAGAAGTTGTCAGTCGCATGTTTCCATACTTTTTCCGGTAAGCGTGAATAGAGCCTGTTTTTGAAGTACCATTATTTCCTCCACAAAAAAACAAACAAAACTGCTAACCCTGTATTTCAGATCTGAATAAATATGCTCTGAAATTTGATTCTTGTGTTAGTTTGTTCATATTTAATTTATATTAATTTTTTTTTTTTGTTAAATCTTCTAGAGGCGTTTAAAATGTCAACTTTTGAACAGAACAGTACTATCAATACATACATTGAAAATCTGATTGCTGTGCTTGTTAGAGTAATCCCAATTATATATATTTAGTGGTGTAATAACCTGTTTATAATTTAGACTACCTGATTCCCACCTACGTAAAATGTAACTTAATTTGAGCAAGTGAAACATTTTCCTTTGAAATGTTCAGCACGCGCCTGTCGACTTTCTGATTATGCATCCAATTAGCAGTGGTGGGCCTTTTAGAGCAGTATCACACTCCAGATTAGAGCAGCCTTTAAAACTTACATGGCGACTTCACACTGGCTGCACTAATAATTGATGAGCCCGCTCGCCGTTATCGGTTTATTGGTGTGTTTAAATGACTGGTTTCCATGGAAACCGCTCCAGGGATCCAGACTCCATAAAAACAAATCTTGTTGTAAAATGTTGAGTAAGGCATTTACCCCACAAGCTAAAAGAAAAGCTGAAATGATGAATACGCTTTCAATTTATCTGGGGTAGTGAATGCCGCTATTTATGTAACCAAGTCTGCAAACCTGTTCTGTTGCTCTTACTGGAAATATTTTTTCATCGTATCACATCTGTTTTTATATTAGTATTAGGGCTGGGTATCACTTAAAAGTTGCCGATACGATACATACCTTAATACATAGAAAACTATATGATATATCCTTCGATACAGTGCACTTTTGATTCGATATATATTTCAAATCAGTTTAATGTGCTTCAGTAAAAAATAATGGTTAAATCATGGCTGTGATACTTAACGTAAACCACTTCTTTGGAAAGTTAATATGAAACACACCTTTTTAATAATCAAAATGTGTCGCATAAACAAGCTTTCTTCCTCTAAACAAGCAACAAAATTGTAGCACTGTAACAAAATAATTTAGAAAAATATACCAAAAAAATAGTCTATATTGATACAGCAGCCCATGATTTAACGATACGATATATCAATATTTCAGTATTTTTGCACACCACTAATTAGTATTTAACAGGCATTTTTGTAAGGATGTTACAACAATATCTAGGAATGGACAACTAGTGCTTAAAGGCACTCGCTGTACCTGATTTTTAATGTCTTAAAAATGTGAAAAACAAAACTAGTCAATTTTATAATGATTTGCAGTGGTCAAGTTATTACTCACTTGCCTTGTGCATTCCGAACATCCTAATTATTCACAGCAGTGTTTTACAGAATTGAGCTTTTCTGTGACTGTAAAGCTAACAACATGCTAACACACACTTCCTCATTATTGGATATATATTTATATGCAGACAGAACACACTGGACTTATTTTAACATCGAGAGATGCTTATACAGTCTCTGTACTGGGGCAAGAGAAATTTAGCTCACACGCATGGGAAAATCTGGGACAGAACTGGAAATATGCCAAGTCAGGGCAAACATGAGCTGCAGTTGAACTGGCAATATTCTTGTTTAGGGCAATATTCAAATTCCAGCAGTCTAATGTTCAAGGGCCTAAGGACACTAATTTACATGGTTTTGAATGTTCCCCAAAAGTTTCAAATGTAAATATATTCTCTTAAGTCCTTATTTAGCCTTGTTTTGGTTCCAGCTTAGGCTTTAAGTTTTGACATAGACTAATGAAGTATACGTTTTTGTTTTAATTCAGTTTAACTACTGCCAAAATGATGAATCAACAAAATATTTTTTACAAGATTCAACAAAGTTATCTTTCCTTTCATGATTTTTGTAATTAGTCCAATCCTCTTTTCTTTTTGTATTGCATTTCCCAACTTTAATTAGCTATACATCAGACATTAATCTTTGTGCTAATTCCTCTTTCATTCCTTTATGATTTCACTTTATGGTTTATTAATGCTCCTGGATGGACATTCCCAGTGCATGGTCAATCAGTTCATTTTCCGTGGCCATACTCAGAATGCCGCGGGCCATTGGGGTATTCGACTCTAAGTAGTGGCAGGAGTGGCAACAAGGCTTAATTCATTTACTTAAGAGCTTTCCACGTGGGGTTTAGGAGTTAATAGGACCATCACTCTGTAGTGCATTTGATTAAAGTCTCTTAATTACCCCAGGTATAATGGGCTATTAGCACAGGCCCAGTAGTAAAAGGGCAAGTGGGAGATGATTGTTTTTATGAGCTACTTTTTGTTCACCTTTCCCAATGTCAGGATTATCTAGGCTTATAGCGTTTGAACTCAGCCCCTCTCCAAACCCTGATCCACATCGCACTCCTCAAACTGCTGATTTACTCTAGTGCATTCAGGAGACGATCCACTTCCTCTTATGGAGCTACATTATAATAAATTATGGATGTGCTGCCTATTGCCTATTCAATAATGTTTTAGCATTCCAAATTCCCCATAGGTAAACTGAAGCTCTGACTAGCGCATTTTCAGCTGTGGCATTTTGAAAGTTCCTAAACTCTTATTCATGACAGTACAGGTTTGACTGCACAAAGTTGGTTCTTGTTGTGAGCCCTGACTGTGCCAAATGTATTTTCCCCAAATGCATTTCTTACTGTACCCTTAAAACTTGAGTCATAGTATTAAAAAGAAAAAGGGACTGAGAGTATATGATTACTCACTGGCTAAATAATGACATCTCAGAAAGTCCAGGATTAGTTTTTGGTTTAGTTTTTTCACTGATTGTGTTGTGATAGTGCTTTGAAGGGGGAGTGACTTAACACGGAGTGAAAAGGGAGGGGAGACTCAGAGTGTCAAAAACGAAAGTGAAACTTATACTATATAATATAATATAATTTGTACTGGCAAATATAGCATTTTTTGGTGATCTAATATGTTTTGTGTTCGCAGTTAATACCCCATAGAAGTAAAATTCCCCCTCTTTAAAAGTCCTGCCCACTTTGAAGCCTGCTTGGGTTTTGGAAGTAAATTTGTTTTTTTCACAAACCTTATGACAAATTTAAAAAAATTAAGTGTTTGAAGCCACAGTTGTAGCTAACAAGCTTTGTGGTAACTAATATCCAAGGCACAATTATTTTTAGTCCTTAAAATTTACCTTTTTGTATTTTCAACCTTACAATTTATAAAGTTTCAGAAATATATTATAAATAAAATGATCTGCCTTGTGCTCATTAGTTACCACATAGTTGAGTAGACCCAAACAAGCTTTCAAACTTTTAATATTATTTCTTTCAAAAGTTTATGATAGGAGCGATATAAATGCATAACTAATCTAATTTCAAAATGTAACACACGTTTACACTAGGGATGTAACGATAGCTAAAATGATCGTGATATCATATCGTCAAAAGTCTCACAATAATACCGTGGGCTGTCACAATTTATCGAATTACAAAATCCTTTGCTTAAACGCATTGTTTTATAGTAGCAATAGCGAATAAACATCAGGAACTACATATCCCATGATTCATTTCAGTGCAGACTGGAACAGCATGAAGAAATATGTTTTTACTTGAATTCTTGCAATTATGATGGAAATAATTCACACTGAAATTTTGTCAAGGTATTTTAAAAGCAAAAAAATACCCTATCTACAATTATATTAGCCTCTCCAAAATATCGCAATAAATCATACCATGATAATATCGTACAGAGAGATTTGGATATTGTTACATCCCTAGTTTACACGTTATTACATCTATGAATACATCTTTACAGCTTTGAGCTATTTTGAAATCATTCCTTTCTTCTAAAAATTCTTCCCTCTCTCCACAGGCACTTTCTATTTAAAACAGGCACTGGATCCACACCTTTCTTTGGCGCTGCGGCACCCGGTTACACCATGGCAACGGGCACAGTGTACTCCACCCCGGCCCGCCCCCTGCCCAGGAACACCCTGTCCAGAGGGGCCTTCAAGTTCAAGAAGTCCCCCAAGCACTGCTCCTGGAAGTGTACTGCCCTGATCGCTGTGGCCGTGGCCGTGCTGCTGTCAATCATCCTGTGCTACTGCATAGGTAAGTCTGGATTAGGCATCTGGTACACCAATTACCGTAAATTCTGGACTACAAGCAGCTACTTTTTTCTCACACTTTGAACCCTGCGGCTAATAAAACGATGCGGCTAATAGATGGACGAATTCTTTGTTTGGCACATTGTCCATTCATATATACAGTCTATGTTTTGGCAATACAGCAGATGCGAGCGCAGTCTGAATGCAGAAAGCACAACTGAAATAATTTATTGTCGTGTGGTAAAATAAGTTATGATGTTAAATTAACATTAGTGAGGGGGATACGTCTTACCTGTATGTGTAAATGACGAGAAGAAACGTCTCAAGCCTCAGTAGCTGGACATTCACTCATACCTGATTGACTGAACTAGCCCCGTCCCAGAGAGAGTCTAAAATCTGCTGAAATCCTCCGAGACACTGATTCTAGGTTGATTGTGTTTTGAACGATTATTTTGTGCTTCACACACCCTCCTCTTGGAAAATACATGGAAAAATGCAGGTGATGCAGCTTTTAAGTTAACAGCAATTGATGTGGCGTTCAAAGAAGGAAAGAAAGCTGCTGCAGGTGAGCTCGTCATCAGTGAGTCGATGGTGAGATTTTGGTGACGGCAGTGTGACGAAATGACTCAATGCAAAAAGACGACAAAAACTTTCAGAGGCGATAAAAGGAAACGGACCGAACTTGAAAACGTTCTTGAAGACGTGAACACCTGTAGCTTATATTCAGGGGCAGCCTATATATGTACAATTTTAAAATGTTAAAATGTTGTTGTTGCGGCTTATATTCAGGTGCACTCAATAGTCTGGAAAATACGGTACATTAAAGTGCATATAACAGGTATTCATGTTATTTAATTACTAACTTGGTTTGGTGGAATAGTACACGTGTTAAGTGTGCGGATGCGGGAACACTGCCGAAAAGTTACATACACAAATACAGAAAGTAGTGTTGAGTCCTAAAAGGGAATACTGCTACCTATGTCATCAACACTGAAAATTCCATCCAGAATTGCGGGACATTTGGTGCAATAAAAACATTTTTCTGACAGATTAAACATTGTTGATAGACAAAATTAGTTGATGTAATACATAATCTTAATGTATAAATTAGACAAGTTTGGCCCTTGTGAACATTACGGTTGCTAGGTAACAGAAATTGCCACTGCACATACACACATATATACACATGCCCTGATGAAGGCTCAGTATAAGACTGAAATGTGTTGGCGGTTTTAAAATCATTGCCATGAAATAAAGGCTTTTCATTTTTTTGTAAATCTCTTTGAGTGCCTCAGCCTTTATTTCATTATTACAATACCTGTCATATCTGCTGCTCGTGCTCAACCAGGAAGGAAAATTATAATTATTATAATTAATTATAAACTTAACACCAGAATTTAAAAAGGCAAGATTTGTGGTAAAAAAAAAAAAAAAATGAACAATGTTTTCATGAAATGAGTAGTCTAACCTGTTCTATGCACTTTGAGGAAGTATCTCTGTTCTGAAACATTTATGAGTAACATCATTATCCAGCATATTACACTCCTACCACTTAGAAATCAATAACTGGACAAAGAATATTGATTTGGGTTTATTTCGTTTGGTGGATTGAAATGGGTAAAGTGGTGTGTACCCATAGCAACCCTTACCACATGAAAATAACAGGAGTATAATGCTGAAACCAGCCAATGAGGAGACAGAATTTCCACAAAGCTGCACTAGCAGGAGTACCCTTGGGTTATTATTCATTATTCCAATGTCCTGGTGGCTATGTTGAAAAAAAGCACAGATTGTGTATTTTAACAGTCTTTACCTTGACCCTCACTGGCACTGGCAATTTACATATCAAATTTTGACCTGCAATTGTTTATTAGACTAATGAATATGTAAAACATAGATTGTTTAGGGTGTTTAGTGGTCACACTGCAGCCAGCACCTAGCCAAACAGTTGTTATTGTGTAGTCTGCCAGTGTCCAAAGATATTCCTGTAAAGGTCAGCTGGAGCATCTAAATAGGCCACAATAGATATCCAAAGCATGGAAGAAAATAAATGATTGACGTGAACTATCCACTATTTCTGACTGGTATTGACTCTGGCAGAGATGTAGGCCAGGGTACATGTTTTTTCTCATATAAAGAATAATGATCTTGAATACTGAAGAAGATTGAGCTACAATGACAGTGGCTGTTGCCCTTATTCACCAACACAACCAGACTGGTCAGATTTCACTATGCAATTAGGCCTGTAACGATAACAGACTTTGCTGGATGATTAACTGACCAAGAAATTATTGCGATAAACAATAATATAGACATTTTGAGATAATTTTCAACTAATATAATGACAATGGAATAAAAATGCAAATACACTCTCTCAAATATCAAAACTTAGACTTTCTCGATTGTCTAAGTTTAGATAGACTAGATAAACTTTCTAAAGAACATTTAACACAGGAACTGCAAGACAACCAAAAACAATAAGCCTAAATAAAATAGACCTGTTAACATAAGAATAGCCTAATGTAGTCAAGGACAAAAAATGCACTTGAATAAACCATTGTTGGACCAAACACAATAAAAACAATAAATAAAATGGATTATTAAGTCTCTGTAACAAAATTGCCCTCTAAAGTTATTTTAGTCATTGATTTACATTGGAATATTGTGTCTCCTCTCTCTGTGGCTGCTGCTGTGAGCCTCGTCATTTTGGTCTTAAAATGTTTGTATTAACCCGTGACATATGATCCTATTTCGCTATTTTGTCCATCATAAAATTAAATTCATAATATAAAGTCCGGTTCCTCGCTTCGTCCATTTTTTTGTACAGGGATTCCAGCGCAGTCTCCTGCAGAAAGAGCCATTGTCCTGTCTGGTGTCGTGTCGGTGTCTTGTGGGATTTCAGTGGATTTCGGGCCCTCCCGGGGGTGGGGCTAGTCCTGTCGCTTGGGTATGGGTGTTTGTCGGCTGCTGGGGTTTGAGCCATTTCCTCTTGTCGTTTGCATTCGTCTGCACATGTGACGCATGTGGCCGCTGAGACGTGTCCTACTCACTAGTTTTGGCACCCTGACTTGTTTTGTCACATGGCCATGAACTGTTTTGGTGCTCTGATGGCGACGTTAGCGCTGACAGTGGCTGCGCATGCATCCGCTGTGTTGATAAACAAATAATCCGTTCATACAGTCCATGGGATACAGTCCATGCCCCATGGTCTATGCTGACACATTCGTTTGAGGGTCTTTACACTAAGGAAACGAGTAGAGAGCGATAGAAGTCCTTTGACATTCATTCTCTTTGGTAAAGGGAGCAAGAGAGACGTGGAAAACAAGCATGCAAATAGAAATTATGGCGGCTGGAAAAGTTGTCGAGCTCCTTAAAAGCTACCGTACAATTAATTGATTTATTATTTATCGTTACAGGCTTATATGCAATCAATTAATTTAAGAATATATGTAATACTATTGTTAAGAAAACATGTTTAATTACAATAAAGACTGTATGTATAATGGTGGATTTTGAAATAGAATATATTAACTTTTTAGAAAATGGTTTTGACATTTGCCAAATCTAAAGCTCAGATAAGATGAAACATTAAAAAAAGACCCATTACCATTTTCAGTGCCGTCTACATTTTTATTCAAAATTATTTCTTTTTCACAGTTTAAATAGGATAGAATAGATAACCCAGTGCATATAACCACCAAATACAAGGAAATCACGTGAAATAACCTGATTGATAGTGAACTTTTTGGCTCTCAGATCACTGAGTTTTTGGGTTGAAATTTCACCAACAGAAATTAAAGTCAGACTATTATTCATTTGGTTTGAAGGCTGTCCTTGTGGGCCCAATCCATTATTAGCTTCCAACATTTGTTTTGCACATCTACCTTTTATCCAAACACAGAGTTTCTGTTCCAAGTGTAAAACAGTCCCCACCTTTGCAGATCTAGTTGGCTGGACATGAGTAGCAGCGGGGACTGAACAGTGCTCTCCTCTCTGGCCCTGGAGGCACAGACCCATCCACGCGGCTACGGAGATATCATCTAATTGTAACTTGGCATTCAACAGCTTAACCCTCTAGCCACTTAGAATTAACTAAACAGCACGTGCTGGCAGTCATCATACCAGCGCATATTTATTATTGTCTCTTGTGGAAACACTAGCTGTCACCTGCGTTTGTGGAAAGCTGTAGTTTGGCTGCCAGAAGCAATGCATTTGAATCAGTTCTTTGAAAAGACACAGGGAATCCATTGGAAGTGACATTAGACGAGCTTTGGACGCGTCGGTCAAATGGAACAAATGATAGACAGGCCGCTGCCGAATAGAGCTGTCTGTAAAGCACTGTTCAACTGTCTCCCCTTTGGTGATGGATTGATACAATTTGGCCATGTCTTTTACCCCATGGTTGTTGGGAAACAAAGGACAAAAATTGATTCTGAAAAAAGGTTTGCTTGTCTCCATGGAGATATTGGAGTTGTTGCTTTGCCTGGAATGTCCCACAGTATGGCATTAAGCTGATCTGTTTCAGGGTTCCCACGGTCATGGAAATCCTGGAAAAGTCATGGAAATTTAAAATGTAACTTTCCAAGCCTGGAAAAGTCATGGAATTTTGCAAATTCAATGAAAGTTTTGGAAAAGTCATGGAATTTTAGTATCTCTGTCACACAAATACAACTTTCTGCTAAGTTATCATTAGGCTATTATGATTATTTCCAAATGTATGCGCCTTTTGTTTAAAAGAGATGACAATAAATGCACTGACATTATTTTGAATGTTAAAAAAACTATAATCCCAAATCATAAGGTGAGTGGAAAGGGTTAACATTTCATGTTTAGCCCTAAAAGTCTGATAAATTCTACACATGTAGGGTGCTGTAAAGTCATGGAAAATTCACTTTAGGTTATGAAAAATTCATGGAAAAGTTTTGAAATTTTGTCAGTGAAAAAGAGTGGGAACCCTGCTATTTCCATGGAGACAAGTAGGTGAAGTTACAAGTTAGTTCTGTG